CGGGGAACGGGTTATGCCGATCATTCTTACCTCGATCTGCCGGGCAGCCTGCTGGAAAACATTTCCATTGCCAGATTACAGGATGCAAGATCCTTCCTGCAACGCAGTGCTAAAACAGACTTTGAACGCTGGCTGATCGATTCCGTGGGGTATACAACGGCCAGCCTTACTGAGCTGGAAGGCACAAAGTATCTGCGCCGGTTTGAGTTTGAAAAAGCAGCAGCCAGCTTCAGTGGATTAGGTGATAGTGCAGACCTCCCCGACCCGTTCATCGCCCATATCAGTGATAAGTATGAGCTGGATCCTATAGATACAAAAACGCTTTACTCCAAACTGACCTTTGCCCGCAAAATGGCCGGGCTACAGAAAAAGATCAATGCTGCGCCCAATGATGCGCAGGCGTTGTTTCAATATGCGACGGGGCTTTACAGCATCAGCTATTATGGCAAGAGCACTTATAATGTTACCTATTACCGCAGCTCCACCGACCCGTTGTCTTATTTTAACAGTGATCAACGGAAATCGGCGCCGGTTTATACGCAGGAGTATTATGGTGCAATAACTGCCGAAAAGCTGTTTGCCCAAGCCGCAGCAAATACCACCGATGCCGAGCTGAAAGGCAAAGCACTCTTCATGGCTGCCAAGTGCTGGCAGAAACGTTGTGAAACCGGCAAAGCCCAGTCCTACTATGATCAGGACATGATCAAGCTGTATTACAACAACTCTTTAAACAACCCTTATTTTAAGCAGTTAAAAAATGAAGCTTCATCTACAAAGCTCTACCAGGAAGCATTGAACACCTGTGGCTATTTTAATGACTATGCAACCAAACAGAAATAAGCCGGTGCGTGTATTACTGTTGAAGCCCTATGGCCTGTTCCTATTGCTAATGGTGCTGTTCGCTTCATCCTGCCGCCAGACAAAGCAACAGGATAAGGAGTTGCAAACGTTCCGGATCAATTTTTCCAGTGGCAGCCTCGAGTCGCTGGACCCGGCCTACGCCAAAGACCTATATACTATGTGGACGACCCATATGGTATATAATACCCTGGTGGAAACCGACGAACATTTACATATTGTGCCTTCCCTGGCCCGAAGCTGGGACATAAGCGACGATGGCTTACGTTATACGTTCCATCTTCGGGATGATGTTTACTTTCAGCACAACC